CCTCCTACTGACAAAAATGAAGTTTCTCTCCCTGTGGGCAGTGATGACAGCTAGGCAAACCTGAGCTCTGCTGCTGGCCGGGTCTGTAGCCAAACGACAGCGGAACAGCACCAAGAGAGAGCTTCCAGGCTACTTCTTAACTGGGTGCACGGAATCCAGGGTCTACTAAGAGCCATTTACATACCAACACCATTAAGTTGCGTCGCTATAGAACTACCCACCACATGCGTAACAACCTTATTTACTGGTCTGTTTGCAGCTGGTTGTACCTTCTCCGGGATCATGCCCCATTCGCTCAAATGGCTGTTTCCCCATCTGCTTAAATGAGAGCGCACGCTCTAGCCCCGAGCCATGGGGTCCCATGTGCTCCCACACGATGCCCAGGACAGGGTCAGGAGGGAAGGCAGTGTAGCCATCAAATGACTGCAACCATCTGATTTTTATTAAAAACAGCATTTAAAAAGAACAACCATTCTATTGCCACCAGAGTATTTGATTTTTCTGCCGGGAGAAGAAAAGCCCTCCAAATGTTTTATTCAGCAGAAACTGGAACACTGTTATTATAAACTTTCTTCCCCAAACAAATTCCCTGAGCTGATGCTGCCAGAATCCCTCCTCTCCAGGGTAGTTCTGCCTTCACTCATTGACTCCTGAGATGCTGCTGGAAAATCTGCCACCCTGGCTCCAGGAGGCAGCAGATCGTCTCAGAGGGGCTGTGGATCACAGCCCCTCCCAGAATGGTTCTGAGAAAATCCACAAACTGTGTGGTATGCTTAGAAGGAAAACTGCATACTCATACTTGCCGGGATTCTCTTCAGGAGCAGATCAGAGCCTACGGAAGGCCCTGGGGTGTCCCTATTTGCACTGTCACCTCCGAAGTCTGGATAAAGCATCACCTCCCAAAAGCAGCCCATCAGCCCAGGGACCCCCTAGGTCTGCTGGGGGTAAATATCAGCCAATACTTCAGGGATGATGAACAGGGGAAAATGTCTTACCCCAAATTCTGGAAGTTTCTGGATGGTACCACAAATAGAAGAGATTCTTATTCTTATCCTCAAAAAGGAACCGAAGAGCCTAAGCCCTTTTTAGGGCACTGGTGGGCCCACAAGATGGATTCACCATGGGTTACCGTTCCAGTGTCTCTGATAGAGTCTGGCACGGGAGCTATAAAGTTGTAAAAGTCAGGTCCCCTTCTTAAGCTCATTCAGAGTGAGCTGCTGGAGGGGAAATTCTCCCATTATGGCGGCATCAGGCAACGCTATCACTAGGTGTGAGCATAGAAAAAGAAAAAGTGTAAACGTTGATGAATGACCAGGGGACGAAGGATGAATAGTCACCAGAGACGAAATGGGAGCAGCAGAAATAGTGTAAGCAGGGGTCACCGAATGAGGCTGCTGTGCGGACACTGTGTACTGGCCCGACATCAATTCCAAACTTTTCTATCATCTTCCCTGTGTCACAGGGGAAGGAAGAACAAACTGCACTTCCCAGCCTCCTGTGTAGATACGGTTCTGGGTTCTTTTAGGGTCAGTGGACAAGATCCACTTTGGAAGGCGGAAGCTTTCCAGGAGTACAAGGGGTGAAGTGGGCCCCAGCAGGGGTGAGAGTTGGCAGCAAATGGACTCCATGTTGTAATGTCTGGTACCAGTTTGAAGGGGGGTGGAGATGACACCAGTGGTTTCTGTGGCTGATGTAGTAGTAGATGTGGTTTCTTGATCTCTGTGTGGTTGGTAGGGGCGTGACCTCAAAGCTAAATGCTAAAATGGCAGCTTCTGGTTGTCATGCCTCCAGCCTTTCCAGTGATTTTGTAGAGCACCTAGATCCTTTTCCCCTTGCAATACCTAGAGTGGTGAGGCAGCCTGGCCACCCATTTCCTTTTCTCCTATGTACCCAGCTGGACTCTATATTTCCCAGCCTCCCTTGAAGTTGGGTGTGGCCCTATGTCAATGGATGGTGAACTATCATGATCCATCACAGCTGGATACTGCTTTCAGACCTGAGCCAGACAACTTCCACCTAAGATCTTCCACACTCTTCTCCCTTCTGCTTGTCTGATGCAGACAAGCACTGTGACCTTAGAAGCTATGTGCGAAGATGCTGGAGACACAGGAGGGAAGGAAACGAGTCTAGGTCCCTGAATCACTGTTTGGAGGGGAGTCATCTTGGAAGAGAAGCTCTATCCCATCACAGTGGCAACTGGTATACAACTGGTATGTTAGGGGGGAAAGTGGTATGGTAGATGAGGAAGATGTTATGGACACAATCACCAAGGATGAAATGGTGAAAGCAGTGGTCACCAAAGTGAGGGAGGAAAAACCTGCTCTTATGCTAAGTCCCTGGGATTATGAGATTTATCTAATACGGCATTAGCAGCACCCCAGTTAAAAGAGGCTGTTTCTGTTTCTGCGCTAAACTCTGACTGATAACAGCCACGAGGGTGAAAGTCAGAGTAAGTCACTGGTAATACTGACATGAAAACATTATAGGCCACAACCAAAAAGAAAAGAAAACAAAAACAAACAAACAACAATATGTAAGCTGGCAGAATCTAACTAAGAAAAGAGAGAGTTGGAGGTCAGTATAAATTTCCTGGGTGGAAGCTCAGGAATGAAGTTCCTTTGATCATATAAACCCCATCACTCCATCCTCAGCCTCCACCAGCCACCACATACACTGAACACCAGAAAAAATACATAGAAGCCCCCAAATAAACCATAGGTCTTTCTTTAATATTCTTGAGGGGCTGAAGTCTGGGGAATCATCCTCATAGGGGAGCTCCTTGTTCCAAGGTGTCCAGGGAGGGGGCCCAAGAAGAAGCCTCCCCTCTGGACAGAGTGAAGGCCATCTTTCTCCACAATGGACCTTGATTCCAAGGGCTGTTCCCTTTGAATGCATTCCAGGAGCGGACGCAGATCTCAGAGAAAAGTAGGCACATCCCAAGCTACAGATGTGAGGCCTGGCAGCTGAACTGACAACTCAAATAGCATCTCTAATGAAGGAGCCAGGCCAGCTGGTCTGTTCCCCTGGCTGGGAGCGTGCCTCAGAAACGTGCCTGCCTTTCATTTTCTGATGTGTCACAATTTACCCTTTTGTTGTTCCAGAACATTCTGGAGCACAGAAGGCTAATCATCCTTCATGGTGAGACACCTGCTGGAGGTGCTGACAGCTTAAGCCCAGTACCTCCCAAACATCATCCCGAAGGTGGCCACACAGTCACCCTCAGTCCGTTCACTGCCATTGCCCTTTCACTGGTTCACGAATCAAGAAGAGAGGAAAACACACTCTTGAGGCTGGCAATGACAACAAATCCCCAAAAGATAAATGTATTTTATTAAGAGTGAAGCACAAAATAAGTACCCATGCATGTTCTGAGAGGGCGGATGTGCTTGTTGACTCCAGCAAAGCCAGTAGGAGAACATGTACATCTATTTTGGTCCCATCCAGGGCTTGATGAAAGCCAGCCTTCATTTAGGTTTTCAGTGGCTCAAAAGCAAAGGGTAGCAGCCTCAGTTTCTGTTGCTCACGTCAGTGTGTCTCTTGGAGTCAAAAGATAGAAAACATCAACTCTGAGGATCAATCTTGGAGCTGAGGACAAAGAGAGGATGTCCCAATGGATGGAACTCTTCCAAGCCAAAATGGCACCTGCTTAAAGAGTTACGACTTGCCACAAGTCTGATAGGGGAGAGGATATAAACTCTGGTCCCAATAAGCTTTATATCTTGTCAACTCATTGAGCACTTTGAACCTAAAATTCAGTATGAGAAACAGGGATAATAACTCTTTTTTGAGGGCAGAGCATAAGCCAAACACTGAACTGCGTACTTCATATACTTGGTATCATTGAATTCACCCAAGAGGACTCTGAGGTAGGTGGTTTTATCCCATTATACAGAAAAAGACATTGAGTGTCAGAAAAAATTAAGGAACTTGCCCAAAGCCATACCACTAGTGAGCACCAGAACCAAGAGTCAAATCCAGTTTTACTTGACTCCATATCCTGTCCTCTTACCCACTATGCATCATTCTTCTGTTTCAGGACCCACCTGGGTCGAGATGCTTATGGCACAGGGGTCGAGATTAGAGAACAAGCATTGAATAAAGCTGGTAGCAAGGGAACTTCCCAGTTTGGGGAGGATGCCAGATGGGCTTGACTCACCACTCCCCATGGCAATTTCAGCTCACTAGAGAACACTTGTAAAAGCAGGAGCTCACCATAGCTCTCCACAATCCCCTATCTAACCTCCCCCCAGATAATAAAATGTAGGGAACCCTGAGAGTCACTGATAATGTCCAGTTACCCTCTGCAGTAATTTGAGCCCACTAGTTCTCTTTTTCAAGAGGAAACCTGAAGAAATCAAACTCAAAAAGCTTCCTGTGTGTGATTCCACAGAGATAGAAAACAGATCAGCGGTTGCCAAGGGCTAGGAGCTGAGGGGCGGAGTGGACCACAAAAGGCACAAGAGAAATTTGGGGGGAGGATGGAAATGTTTTATATGGTAATTATCCTAGCTATTACACAACTGTATACATTTGTCAAAATTCATTTAATCATACACTTAACATTGGTAGATTTTACTGCAGGTAAATTACATCTCAATAAAGCTGATTTAAATATATATACACATTTTTTTCCCAAAAGGGTTCTAGCTGATGAACCTTGAGCTAAAATTTCCATTGTGTAGCTACATTGCAGTAAACCCTCGGACCAGAATCCCTTGGTTGTTCAAACTTCCCAGCGGGGAGATTTCCTACAGGCAGCCACTGCAAGATGATACACCAGGTCCAGTGGCAAGAAGGTTTTGAGGGGAATTTTCATGCAAACGCTTCTGTAGAAGTTTAAATAAAGAGCTGATTGCTAGAGTTATCTTGGCTTCCTGTCTCCTTTCCTGAATCTTCAGAGGTCATACTGTATACTTGGTAGAAACATTCATCTGGAAAATTGCCTAGAGCCAGATTAAATATAACATCACTGTTTTTAACTTCTATGTCACATGATATACCTGTCTTTATCTTCATATCTTGTTGCATTTTGAAGGCGATACCTGTCTCTATGCTCAGCCCTGAAAGATAGAAAAAAAGTTTTGCTAAAAATACTCAAAAAGCTTGGCATGGATTAAAAATAAGCCTTTCAGTAAAACTCACTCCACTATCTTACCTCTCCTTTCAGCTCTAGGTCGCTTGTGCCCCGACACATTCTTTTTGGGGAAAGGTATTCTTTCCCCAGTGTGGCCAGTTAGTCTCTTTGCTTTCTATCCAAGACCTCCTGTTTGGGGAAGATCTGGAAGCTTCAGACCCATGTTGATAGCTCAGTTGGAAAAGGAACATAAGCCACACAAATATAGTCTAACATTGGAAATAATCAGATCAGTCATGCAAATTAATGAGTACATAAGATCACATCCCAAAAGAAAAGAGTGCAGGGTCATACAACAAAAGCTGCCAGAGAGAATGGATTTTAAAGGGAAATGAAAACTAAAGAGCCAGCCCTGACTTTGGAGTCTTAAAAGGTATTGTTCTTCTCTGCTCTTAGGTGTCCTGGCGTTTGGGAGGTAGCCATTCTCTGAACCTCACAGCAAAGTGTGGACTGGTAAGAGGGGTTTTTTATAGTAAAATTCAAGTGAAAAAACACAAGAGACAACACTTTTTCAAACCACATTTTAATCATTTATTAAAAGGGGAAGAATACAGCATTTAAGGAGCCAGTCCTATCAACGAAGACTTCTGAACATCAAACGAAAATAGACCAAGACCGGATGATAAAGCCATTCAAAAGCACAGAAGCACACACACACCTGCAAGGTTTTCAGATTGCACTGATTTACTACATACTTTCAATTTTTTTTTCACATTGCTTCCTCAGAAAAAATTAAAATTGTATTTTCTTACAAGTTTCAGTCTTAAAGACAAAAATTGCATGAAGCCATTGATATGACTTAATACAAGTCTAACGTATGCTCTAAGGGCTTTACTATAGAACCAGATAGGCTATCATTTTATCACGGCCGTTTGCTTTTCTTATGGTCTTAGAGCCGTGAAAGTAAAAGTTCATGATGAAACAAAAGAAAATTAGTTTTGTTTATCTTATATCTGTTCCATTAAAAACTGGTTAATTTTTTTTTTTTTTAAGTAGGAGTTTGGGGGAGGTGTGAGAGGAATTGATTGGTAAGTCTGGTTCTAATCTTCTGAGCTGCCTTTGGAATGAAGTTATGAGGTAAGAGTCTTCTACTGACTCTTATGAAGGTCAAAAGAGAAAAGAAAAACCCAAGTACCTCCTCTGCAGATCCATCTGGGACTGATTAGATAATTTAATGCCTAAAAGGACTTTTCTCCAGAAAACTCAGAGCATTTCACAGATAGAATACAAGCACACTGAACTTACTTATCTGATAGATACAAAACATCGTTCCACATGCTAGTAAGAAAAACAAAGTTGGAGATTTGGACCCTCAAGGAGCTTCAGATATTAATCTGCCTAATTAAGCCCCAGATTTCTTTCAGGTGTGGAAGAATTAACCAAGCTATGTGGAGGGGAACTGGTCCTTGAGCCCTCTCTTTTGTACAAAGAATCCCCAAAGCCATACAGAGTTCTCTTTAAGTTCCTTAATTTCCAGATGTCACCTCACCGAAGGCTTCCTTAGAACCATGATGCCCCGAGATCTCTGACAACCCGTCCACCCTGAAATGACCTTATTTCAGTTGAGAAATGCATCCCAGGAAGCAGGTGGCTTCCAAGAGAACTCATCCAATCAGGGCAATGCCCTAAGTCTCTAGTGTGGTAGAACTCTGCTCCCAAACATTACAACTAAGCAGATACACTTTTGAATCCTGAGCCCCGCCCTGCTTCCTCATCCCTCACTCCCCCACAGATACCTAAATAAGTGGAGGAGACCATTTTTTTGTCAAAAAAAAATTTTATTTCTCTCCACCCTAACACATAAAAGTTTACTGGGGTATCTGTTGGAAGACAAGATCATAATTCAGAAGGTAACCATCATTATAGACAAAAAGTTTCTGCTCGAAAGGATGGTAGTTAATACTCTGCAGTGTCTCCTTCATCTTCTGCATTGCAATGTTAAGTTTACCCTCTTTCCCTGTGCTTGTGTCATAGTAGTAGAAAATCTCTTCTGTTCTGGTGTTCAGAGTACGGGTGGCATACAGAACCCCGCACACCATGAATGTGTTAGTAACAGACGGTTTATACTGCTTGGTATGCCAAGTGTTTAGCACCTCAAGTGTGGTGTCGTTGAGTTTGCTAATCACCATGTTACCAGTGCTGGCTTCAGTTGCATAAGTCACCCACAATCCATTCTCATCCACAGCCAAGTCGATATCTTGCCAACCAACATTAGCATAAGAAAAGCGGTTATTATAGGCAGCATCAGGGAGAGTTTGAGTCAAAGCAACTGTGGCAGTGGTCAGGTTAACTTTGGCAATGTTCTGGGTGTTGTACCAGTTGACATACATGTTATTCTTATAAACTACTAAACCACCACCTTGGCCATAGTATATCCAGTTCTCTCGGGCATTTGTGTACAACAGCAAATCATCCAGTGTATTGTAGATTCTGTAATATCGCAAAGTTCTCCCATCAGTATCCAAAGGTGCCACCCAGTACAGCCCTTTGCCTGGGTGCTGAGGAGAGTAATCCCGACCCCAGGCACCGTACTGATAGCTAAATCCTTTCCAGTTGAGCTGAACTATAACCGGCCTGCTGATGTTCACCACACCGCCGTGAGCACAGCTCCCTAGAGGAACAAGCAAATAAAAGGGCATTCTTAGAGAAAATGAATGACAAGATACAAACAGTTTAACATCCTAAGAACCAAAGGAATCCATAAACATTTTTCTTGTCAATGTTCAATGACAGCCGTGGTCCTGATGGAGAAGAGGCAAAACCTACTCTTGGTTTCTGTCTCAATGCAAACCCGCTGTCAGTTCTAGAGAGCACTACCTTCTATTTACATGAATGAGCTTTCAATCTGGAAAATGGGGATAATGAAACTCCCAAGAGCCATATTAAAAAGCGTTGAGGGCCCAGAAAGTGGAAAGGAGGACTTGGTGAATTTAATATATTTTCTTCTATGAGAAAGCGTTTTGCCAATATTATTTTATTTCCTTTTTCTTATAGAGAAATCAAGAAAGTAAGATCACATGAGAATGCTACCCTATTTTCATAAAGCCAGAAGTTGCTATTCACCAGGGTCAGGGAGAATTGGGATGAAGGAGAAGTCTGTCCTAGGCAAGTCTTTCTTCCCTTCACCCTCTGCCCTTCCCTGGGACCCCAAGGGCATATCCACACCAGGTACCAATGATGCCCCAAGCTACTCTCAAAAGAGGAAGTTTGTACTATGGCATTTTAAAAGCTACAGAAAGATGGTCTCCTAATGGACCTCTAAGAGGTCCTCTAATGGTGGGATTTCAGCCTTGAGAAGCCATGGAAGTTATTATAGGACAACATTGCCTGCTGTGTGCCCAAAACATAGCCAGTCACATAGATCACTTGGTGACCCATCTCACTGCACAGTTACAAGGTGGGCCTTGCTGTTCATAAGCCATAGTCTACCGTGCCACAGAATGACAGGCAAGCACTTCGTCGTTCCCATTCTGTTGCTGTCATTGTCACAATGTGTACAATCAAGTGGGACCAGACTCACCGGTCCTTGAATCTACATTCCCTGTAACACTTGGGTGCATAACTCAGTCTGGGCAATTAGGCCCTTTGCAGAGCCCTCCCTCTGAAATGCCTGCCAACCCAGATCATTTATGAGCTATAAAAAATAAAATAAAATTCCTCCAGTATTTTTACAATAGCTATCTAAAGATTTGAACACACATTTTCTGGGATCTTAACAAATACCCTTAAAAAACTGGTCATAAATTTTATTGGAATTACAGAGAAAAGTCAACTTCAGATACATTTGAGATCATCTTCCCTCATCCTTTAAATGCTTGGAGGGAATCAGGGAGCCATGGAGAGTGCGTGAGGTGGGCTTGGGCCAGAAGCAGAGCTCCAAAGAATTGCCCGAGATTAACATTGTGGGGAGCAAGGGGGTGCAAAGCATTTGCCTCTGAGTCCCTGCCTCTGACACATATGGAAAGACCCATTCCTTTCCTTGCTAAATGCCTCCCCTTTCTCCCCTCCTCATTCAAGGACTGTTCAGAGATGAAACCATCACTAGAAATCCTGCTTTTATTTTTCCAATCTGTTGGGGCTTTTTGGTCCTGGAATTAAATACGTGCTCCTTAAATGCTCTCATAAATCCGCAGTTGGTGGGAAAGCCAGCCAGCCATACAACAGGTAGAGAAATGAAACCACTCTGTACCCAACCTCAAATAATTTTGCATATCATTAAGCAGAACACAGTCACGGGTTTATTTTAATAATGCATGCACCATTTCATAAACAAAAAAGCAACGTGTGTTCAGCCAAGAGACTGCTCTCCTCTAAAGAAATAATAAAATTATAAATTATTATTTCCTCTTCTAAAAGTGATCTCTCAGATGAATGCTTGTTGGCTTTTGTTTATGAAACAATGCATGAATTATTAAAATAAAGTTAGCTGTGTGTTCAGCTTAATGATAACAAAAACTGTTTGAGTTTCCATATGTTACAAACTGGATTTTCTAGTTAAAATACCTTCCCAAGAACTTATTTATTCAACTACATTGCACTCTGAGGAAATAAAAGAAAGTCACTTTTTCCTTGCAGGTTAGAAGACTTAGGCATTATTTGCTTAATTGAATCTTGCCATCCTTGAAAGGAAAGATTCCAAACCAACAGCAACAAATTACTTAAGGAAAACTTAAGATGCATATAACACATTCAAGCATTTTATCATGGGATTAAAGAAAATAAACTATTCTGTCCTAGATGTGGAAATCCTTAGATATGAAGGAACCAAAATAAACTTCTCTTAAAAATCACTACTACTACTACTACTAATGTCTCATCATTTCACAAGTTGACCAGGTGATTAAAATTTTACCTGGTATAAATATTAAAACTGTATGTCATTTAAATCTCCTTTCCTCACTCCACAACTCTAAACATCTCCCGTCCTTTTTGTTATCCTCTCTTTATCCTCTATCTCCTTTAGACCATTTTTAGAGCCCTGGCTCTCATCAAAGGAAGTGGAAATAAGAGGAAAACTAAGTATTCTTGTCCATGCTACAGATGTGGCTACAGCAGTGACAAACTGCTGACAAGGCTATGGCGGGTTTCCTCGACTCCTGGTGACAAACCGTCTTAGAAATATGAGTGAAACTGACAGCCAGCCCAGTGCCCACTGCTCATCTAGCGCAAGCAGAGACCCCATCCGCCCACCCCTTCTACACCGAGCTTCTCCCCGCCCTTTCTAATCTTGTACCCCTTCCCAGCCTGCATTTCAAGGTCTTAGAGATACTCCATTCCTTTCTTTCTTTATGCCAACTTTATCCTACCACTGGAACAACAGCCCACTGCCCAACCCTGACCCGAGAACTATGAAAAACCAACGAATCATTTTGCACTTCCTGATGGAAGAGAACACACCATAGAAATGAGAACGAAGGTACCCTTTCAGCTACTCCGCAAGCAAAAAAGCCAAGCTAATTTGGTATTAATCAGGTTGGTGACTTATTGCAACTTTCTTGTCACTCTAGGAATCACAGGTGCACCTCTCTCTCCATTACAGCATCTGTGGAGGGCAGCCTGGTACAGTGAAAACATTGCCAGATTCCAATTCAAATCCTGACTCCAGCACTTATGAACTGCGTATCCTTGAGCAAGTTACCCAACCTTCTGAGCCTCAGTTTCCTTACGTTAAAGGAAAACTGATAATACCTACTCTGCAGAATTGTGAGGAAGAGTAGACAGAAGACATATACATTTGACTCAATAAATGATAACAGTCAGCATTATAATCACATCCATGTTACAAGTGAAGGTTTACACGACTGTTTCCCCTCCAAGATAGTGGTTTCTGGAGGTTTCTGTACTTACCCTGATAACCCGAGTGCCCAGAACAGGACCAGCCACCCAGTGACACCAAATTATGTTTGTGGAAATAAAAACTGATTAAATCCCCCAAACTCACCTTACCCTTATTTATAAAACACTAGCTCTTTACCCTGGTACATAACTGCAAGTTTCCAAGAGCCTGGTATTCAATCCACTGAACGTAAGGCAGGGAACCCTCTACACCCGATAGCCCTGGTTGGCAATCTCTTCTTTGTCATGCAATTTATTAGATATTGCCATGGTATTCTGAAAATATCCTGGGAGGCCACATGGTGAGACTTTAAAATACTCTAACTTGGCTTTTTTAAAGTCTCATGGCCAGTAGCACTATTTTTTTTAAAGCTAAAGATTATATACCAGCAGAGGAAACTTAATCTTGGATCCATCAATGCCCTCTCTCAC